CTCTGGGGGAGAGAGTGGGACTTTAAATCCTCCTTTTAAAGATCTTTCTGGAAATTTTTCAAAGTTCAAAATGTTCGCCCTTTCCTTCATTCTTCGAGTTGTTGGCCGATGCATCTTTAAGAGGGCTGAAAATAATCCTAGCACAAATGTGTAGGACTCTAGAAACAACAATGTTGTAGGAACACTGCTTTTCAAATTCTTAGTTTTTATTGTATTCTCCCTGAAAGGATTAATTGTAACATGGTCGTTTAGGCTGAAGTTTGAAGCTAGTAGATTGTATTTCAAATAAGAAGGGATATAACAGAAATGTAAAATGAACATATGGTGGTGGTTATGAAGTTTTCAGAGGAAAGTGATAGAATTCAGAAGTCATTTCACTCTGAAATATGACGATAGAATCATTGGTAATTCCCAAGGGAAGTTAATCTAGTCCCAAAGGTTTTTGCCTTATCACTGTAAAAAAATTGTGCAATTGCTTATCTCTCCTCCAAATATGCTTAATAATAGAATTAGAAAGAATACCAGATGTTCCAGTGAAACTAGGAGATTGCCCTTGCACAATAACAAAAGGAGAGACAAGCGCACAACAGAGACCTGAGTTCCCAGTGCTCTCATTTTTCCTCCAAGCTGAAAGAACATTTTGATCAGAAAAGGATCAATTTTGCCCATGCCTATTCTAAACACATGGCTCTTCAGAGCAGTGTGCAAAAAGATGAGGTCAGTCTGTGTGCAAGGCTGCAGGAGCGTTCAGTAATTTTGGCGACTGTTGTCTTTAAAATTGCTGAGGAAATCACAGAGAGGAACTGCCAGGTGTTAAGCCTTTTACAATTCAGCAATATTTTAATGGACTGTAATGGGGACAGTACAAGTCACAGACGTGATTGACCATAAGGATATCTCTTGAAAGTTTTGAATTCTTACTGCAGACCATGAAGGCATTAGAGCTTTCCCGAATAATGCTCTGAAAACTGTGATGCAAAATGTAGTTTAAATAAAGGAGTAATTACTGCCTTCTCTGTGATGAATGCAGTTTTTACAAATAGTATATGCATGCAGTTATACAAAAAATAAGCAGCTGGAAATTTTCAAAATCTTAAGCAGTAAGTAAAAATTTCATTCTAGTTTAAGTACTTACTGGCTTGTTTTTTCTTTGAAAATCTGTACTGCTGGATTGATTTTTTTACAAAATTTAAGATAGTGAACCATTGGCAAGGAGAAACAGTAAAAATTATTGCTGCATTTCCTTGTTTGACACAGGTTCATTCCTGCTTATGAGAACTGTGAGTCCATGTGGCAAATGTAAATTGGAGCGATTTTGTAGTATGACATAGAATAAAATGTAGTGGTCTCTGATCACTGTATATACCTGCCACAAAAGGGGTAGGATCTTAATATTTGGATTTGGGGTTTCAGTTGTTGCCAGTAGATACCAGAAAGACATTTGACTGAGTTTACTCCCTCATCACACAGAACCACTGAAGCCTCAAGAAAATATTCACACAATTAAAAATGTTGAAAGGTCCTCATTAATATAGCTCTAATGATTGTCTACATTAATATATTAAAAAAAAAAAAAAAAAAGGCACATTAAGTCAAACAAGGCAGTAATTCTTTCCAGACTACCTCCTCCTTTCCCAGATCAAAAGAAGTGGCAGCTGTGTGTCTGATGGTTAATCTACAGTTTGTTCCTATTGTGAATAGTTTGGATCCCACTTCTTGCAATCGAGAGAAGGGATCGAGACAGCTCAGGAAGGCTGTTGTATATTCCTTCGAAAGCATCCATATCAGTTTATCAGGATTTCTTGAGAGGTGTCAGACAGGACTTAATTCTGAGAAAGATGTTGGCTTCCTTCTCACACCCTTCTTCCCATTTAGACTGATCGGCACTGCATAGTCAGTAAATCATATTGTCCTTTAACCAATACATTTCTTACCAGCAGTTTTCAAAAGCATTTCTGTTTGTGTTTCAGTTTTGTGTCTACTGTAGAGATTTCTTAAGTTTGGTCAAAACCACAGAATTACTAGGACTATATAAACTAAATAAGGTTGCACCACTCTTTATATGTTATGAATATGCCTAAAATGAAAAGATACTGCGAGATTGCAATTGCAGTTTAAGACTTCTCGTTTTAGGAATTTTTAGGAAAGGAGTTGCCGGCCTTGGTTGGTAGCACAGGCTATATGAGAAGAAAAGGGAACATATAAATATGATTATCAGTCCAGGTTTAGGCACCAAATCACAGCGAGCTGAGGCAACAGTGGGATGTGAGTTCTATGTCTCACTCCAGTATCTGCCTGTCACCTCCGCTTCTGTGGGTGCTGTAGTTGTCATCCATCTCTTGTCGTTGCTTATCGCCCATCTTCCGCGTTAGAAGCGCCTACGGACAAACATGCCGTGATGCTGCCTCTGCCTGCCAGAGGCTGTAACGGCTCCACTAGAGGAACCCGGTGCATCAAAAAAGCCAGGTTGTGCTCATTCACCCTTCTCGCCTGAGGTGATTTCCACAGAAAACAGTTCTCCAAAGCCTTCTCACTCCTTAAAAAACACATACAAAGGATATTCAGCAATGTTTTCAAGTCCTAGCGTTCAAGAGAAATTAGCCAGGGTAATTAGGAGAGGAAAATTCAATTAGTGGGCGAGGAAGGAGTTGGAAAAAGAAAGGAAGGAAATTAGTTCATTGTTCAAGCTGGGCAGTATATACTGTGAACCAGTTTGTTGTTGTTTTTTCTTAAAAGGGAGTGTGGGAAGCGCTCCCGGCTACCTCGCGTTTTCGTTTCACTTGAGGGTAGCGGTGGCCGCCGCATTAACACGCCTGTGTTGTTCTCTCCCAGAGCACGCCCTCCGTCAGCTCTCCCTCCTCGCTGGTGGACAGCAGCATGCCGACCGCGGCGCCGTCGCCCTATGCCGAAATCCCAGAGGAGAAGCCGGCCGGGTGCCCGCAGCACGCCGCCGAGCTGAGGGCTCCCCAGACTCACCTCTTCAGCCACCTCCCCCTGCACTCGCAGCGGCAAGCCAAGGCGCCCTACGGCACGGTGCCGGTCGGGGGGATTCAGGTGGTCCCCGCCGGCCTGGCCGCCTACTCCGCCTTCGTCCCCATCCAGGCGGGGCCGGTGCAGCTCACCATCCCTGCCGTCGGCGTGATTCACAGAACTACCAGCGCCCTCGGCGAGGCGGGCGGCGCGGCCGCCGGCACCGCCGCCAATCCCGTGGGAGTCGCCGAGGTGAACAGCGTCGTGCCGTGCATTCCCATCGGCCAGGTGAGCGTGCCGGGCATCCCGGGTCTCGGCACGCCCGGCCTGCAGCCCCTGCCGCCGCTGGGCGTGGAGACGGTGAACATCTTGGGCCTGGCAAACACGAACATCGCCCCGCAGATGCGCCCTTCGGGAATTACCCTCAACGCCGTGGGCCTCCAGGTTCTGACCGCCGGCGCGGCCCCGCAGGGCAACCCCAGCCCGCAGGCCCACCTTCCCGGCTTGCAGATCCTGAACATCGCCCTGCCGACCCTCATCCCCTCCGTCGGCCCCGCCGGCGCCGAGGGGCAAGGAGCCCCCGAGGCACCCGCCTCGGGCGGCAAGGCCTGCGAGTCCCAGCCGGAGCCGGCTCCCGGCGGCTTCCCGGCGGCCGAGG